ATTGGGGGGAAAAAGGGGAACATCTGTGATACTTTCAACAATAAAGATAAATTAAAACATAAAAAAAGGGAGAAGAGATAAATATATAATTTTTCATTTGTCAGATTAACAACAAAAGTCCCAAAGTGTGAAAATACCCCTACTGGCCAAGCTGTAAAAATAGACCTCTCTCACACACTGCTGGTGAGAATATAAACTGATAAAACCACTAAAAAAAGCAATTTGGGAAAAGCTATTGAAATTACAAATGTAAATACTTCTGAGAATTAAGTGCAAGATTACATTTTGTATAATGTTATTGTTGCATTATATATAATACAAAAAGAGAGAGAGCATATAACCTAAAGACCCATCAATAGGGAACTGGTTTAAATAATACATTCATAGTATGGAATATCATGTAGATAGAAAAAATGATGATGCTCCCTATATACTGACAGGAAAAATCCAAAACAGAAACTTAAAAAGCAAGGTGTTGAGCATTTTATATAATACATTATCACCTTTTGTGTTAAACAGAGGTGTTAAATAGGAGAGTACATAGCCCAATGAAATGGAAAACTTACTTGTAAAGGTAATATTCTGCATGATCTATCTCTTCTCGAGATGAAATGTTGTCCACAAACTAAAAGACAAAAATAGAAACCTTTGGTTGAATACAAATTATGCCACATATTGGGCCTAATTCACACACTGACCTCAAAAAAGACAAAATGTCCATCTTATTGGAACAATGCTCAAATGGCATGACTCCATCCTTGAAACCCCTTTGTGCCAATGCAAACAAAAATACACAATGGCTTCTCATTTTCTTTGTATAGGAAATTTGGTCAGAAAAACTGTTTGGAAGTCAAACATGAACCTTGTTCAGAACAAGAGAGCTTTTCTTAATACTATACTGTACTATACTATACTATAATTTATAACTAGTCATTGATATTTCCCCTTATCTTTAAACCCCGATGTTTTCTTTATTTTCTGAGCTCCAAATACATGAGAATACATATCTGAAAGGTTGAAAACTCTAATGGCTAAAAAAATATGTCTCAAGAGATGAAAATCTAAATTTAGAGAACTCAATCTTGGAAGCATTTTTCTTACTCTGACTTACGTTCTGCTATAGACCAGTCAACCACCAAAGTCTCTTTTAGAACTATAAAATTTGTGAGTGTGCTCAATTCTAAATCAAATAAGCAAGTAGAAAGGCTACTCCAAGATAGATTCTACCCTGCCCGGCCGGACATGGCTCAGGGGTTGAGTGTTGACCTAGGATCCGGGTGATCGGGGCACATGCCTGGGTTGCGGGGTTGATCCCCAGTCGGGGGCATGTAGGAGGCAGCCGATCAATGACTCTCTCATCATTGATGCTTCTCTCTCTCTCTCTCTCTCTCTCTCCTTTCCTCTCTGAAATCAATAAAGATATATTAAAAAAAAATATATATATAGATTCTATCCTAAAGTAGAGACTCAAAGGCAAAAAAGATGGAGTAGAAGGTAAGGAATGTTGTGAATCTAATTAAAACCTCATAACGAGGGAGAGGAGAGTAAAAAGAGACTTTCTAAAAATGCCTCAGACTTAGGAGTTTGATTTAGGAATCTCATTAAGGGGCAGATAAAATCTGGTGCAAACACAGGACCTGGAGTGGAGAACTAGCTCTCCTGATTGTTTGCTGTGTGGCATAAACAGATGGCATAGCCCCTCTGGAGCTTAGTTGCTCCATCTGCATAAATAGAATAAAGGCACCTGCTTTGGAGGATGTGTGGCTCCAATGAGAAAATGTATGTGAAATTTTTAAAATTCTGCAGTGCTGCCTAGACAAATGTCAGGTATTAAGAGAACAGAGATTTTATCCATCATGAACCAATGTTCTTTCCGTTCCCCTTCAATCTGAACCTTACGAGTCTATAAAATTTAAGTTATGACCTAAATTCTTCCCCTAAAAGGACAGTATCAAGTGACAGAAAGAAAGAACTCAGACTAAAAATGATAGTTTCTTCCCTTTTCCTCTTCTAGATTTAACAATAACCTTGAATTTTACGGTGCTATTAATTTCTACCAGGAGCTTTCACCACTAAGATCTTATTTTAGCATTGCATCGGCCTTGCGAGAAGATACTACTGTCCTCATATTGGAAGTGAGGAAAATGAGAGGGGCCCAATTGTTCAATGTTACAAAGTTAATTCATGATAAAGACAAGATCAGATATTATTTGAGGGAAAAGAACTTAGATGTCACAGAGAACTGAGTTTGAAGCCCAATTTTTCTATTTATGACCTGTGTGGACTTGAGAAATGTATCAACCATTCTGAGTCTTGCATGTAAAACAGAAATAATAATGTTTATCTCCTATGGCCACTGTAAGAATATGTTACAGTGTACGTAATGTATGTTAAGAAACTAGTACAACAGGCGGCATAGCAGGTACTCAGTAGTGGTTACTAACAATTACTATTCCTGATTCTAGCCTAATATTATTCTCTCCTCCATTGCTCTGCAGCAGTTTATCATCAATGTTAATATATATTCTTCTACAGACTTTCTCAACCACCAAAAATACTTCCAATACTAACAAGTAAATACTATTCCTCTGAAGGGTGTATCAACGAAAAAAAAATCATGATATTATATAACAGAACACCATATCCTGGAAAAATAAAATAAATCAGATACATAACAATGATCACTGATATCAGAATCTGATAAATTTATTAGCTTTTATTTCAGTCAAAGAAATTGCTTCTTCACCATAAAATATCTACCAGTAACTACAGAAACACACCATACTCTGGAAAACATTTCCTATGAAAGATGTTCTTCATTTACACAGCCTCATCTATATGAAGAGCTCTTCTTGTTTTCTTCCACCTTCTTCTTTGAAAATAGATATAAATTTAAGTTTTCTTACCCGTGATATTGTTAAAGAACTAACAGGCAACTTTTTTTCGTATGTTTTATCCATTAATGATGCTAGATCAGCTGTAAAGACAAAGAAGAAAAAAGAACCTTGTTAAATATACATACTTCTTATGGAAAACCTAACAGATACAATCCCTGCCAGATGGCTGCCATCATTATGAAACCAGTATCGAAACAGATGCACTTTCTTGCTCTTTTTGGAAATTTGTTTTGTATAAATTATAGTGGATAAAAAATATTAATAACATTTAAAAATGAGTTATTTAATTGCAGTAAGGATTATTTAAAAAATGCTAGCATATATTTAGTTTTTTAAAAATGCATCAATAAAGTATCTCTGGAAGGAGGCAGAAGAAAGTGTTTTATTGACAGACTCTAGGGAAAGGAATTAGATGGTCAGGGGCCAAGGGAAGAAGACTCTTCACTGTTTACATTTATTCTTTTTGCATTTTGAACCAGGAAAATATATTAGCTATTCAAAAATTGTTTTAATTGGAATTTATCAAATGACTTTTATATACTCCCTGAACAAATCAGAGAAGCCATCCTGGCTATAAGTAATGATTTTCAGCCAGAACTATTCCTCCTCGGCTTCTTTTAGTAGAACATCCACATGGATACTTGGTATTCCTGAGATTACAGTTATCTCAGAGTCTAAAAAGATCTGAAATCCTAGGCAACATAAATCTCCAAGTTGATAAATCTCCCTCCTCATTGCTTCTCAAACTTATAACATGTTCTTTCCCCTACCCCCCTCACTCTCAGATCCTGATTTTGTCTTATTTCTCTGAGGATACAAAAGAAGCAATCAAGAGAACTTCACCCTCCCACCATCAAGTCTACTAGGCTCCCAGCATCTGGGCCCATATACTCTGCCTTCTTCTTCTTCCTTTTTTTTTTTTTTTACAAAAGATAAACTTCATTAAACAAACAAAACAAAAACCTCCCTTGACCTCCTATCTCCTTCCCGCTACTTCTCCTTTGTTCTGCTCCCCTCAGCAGGAAGACAACTCTGAAGAGTCATACCTGATACAACTGTGACTACTTCCTTAGTTCCACTCTCACTTGAAGTCTCTCAAATGAGACTTTGGTTTCCATCATTCCACTAACACCAGTGACCACCTCACATTGTTAAATCCAGTGGTTAACTCTTCATCCTCACCTTCTTACCCAACTGCTCATGAGCATTTAATAGTTGACCTTCATGAAATACTCTTTTCTCTCTCTCGGGTTCCTTTGCAGGATCGCTGCCTCTTCTTGGTGCCTAAATGTTAGCATACCCTAAGTCTGAACAGCAGACTCTTCTCTTCACCACACACACTCTCTCTGACAGCCGTAATCATCATTTACAGATTACTGACTCCACACTTACATGCTTACCGTGACTCCTGCCTGTAACTACAGACTTGTATTTCCAACTGCAAAGGTGACAGCTCCACCTGAGTGTCTAATAGGTATCTAAACATGATATGTCATCTTCATTCTCCAGCCCTCTGCTCCAAACCTGCTTTCCCCCAAGCCTCTCCCAACTCAGTAACTGACCAATACATTTGCTCGCTTACCCAGGCCAAAAACCTAGGTGTCATTCTTGACCCCACTGTTTTTCATACTCTATAACCAACTGTCAACAAATCTTATAGGCTCTAGATTTGAAATATAAATATATACTTCTCACCGCTACCACTGCTAAGCCACCAATATCTCTCACCTCCTGACTAGCCACCTTAACTATGGCCCCCACACTTACAATTTAATCTCCAAACAGCCTCTTAAAAGATAAATCACACCGTGTCATTCTCTTTTTTCAACAAGCTAACAGCATCCTATCACACTCAGAATAAAATCCAAAATATTTCCTATGACTCACAAATGCCTACATAAACTGGTTTGTGTTATTTTTTTCTCTCTTTTACAAGTATAAGTAAAATCCATGAAGGCAAGGACTTAATTCATAGATAAATTAGACTGATAGACAAATTCTGTCTCTAGAACAGTTCCATAAAAGGCACTCAATAAGTAGCTACAGAAATGAATAAAAGAAAGAGAGAGAGGGAGGGAAGGGGAAAAGGATGGGAGGGAGGAAGGAAAAAGACAGAACTGGATTTCCAAGTTTGGTTTTTTTTCCTCCCTACTGGAAGAAATCAGTATCAAGTAATAAGGACACAGAGGTAATCAACTGACAGGTATCTGTTGAAGACCTATTGCAGTGCATGTAACCATTTTTTCCTCTCTTCCTTCCTGGAGGTAATGGTCTCAATGATTCAGTAGCTATTGGGGAAAAGCAACTTTGCAAATCAGGTTTCAGGGTAAACCTAATATGTAAAAGTAATTAGCTTTTCTTATGACTATCTTAAAGGGATTGACACCAGGAGATTAAAGAATGGTAGACCCCCCCCCCCGCAAAAAAAAGATGTTCCTAAAACCTCTTCACACTAAGGCAAATTAATATTGTTGAATTTCTCTGCTCGCAGAATGATATTAAATAGCACTCCCATTATACCAAATCTTTATAATCCCTTCATAACAGAGGCCCTTATGTTGAGATGATAGGCATTATAAAGAATTACCTACCTTTACTCAAAATTTAAATGTTAACTTTAAAACAGTAGGATCAGGATATACTGGCCTAACTAAATGGCCTCCATTTCCTTGTGGATTTCACTGAGTGCACAATGTGGAACTAAACAATGGATTAGGCTGCGTGGTAACTCAAGATTCCATTCTAATCCTTCACATCAAGACATCTTTAGCCAAGTGAAATCGGCTGGGGCCTCAAAAAGGGCAACAGCTGCAGGCCCAGCATCTGATGAATAACATTTGCATACTGCAAGTAGAGAAAGGTTTGCTGCTAAATATAATATGTGACCAATCACCTCATAAGATAGCATTGGCATGATGAATGAGGCAGAAAACTGCACGGAGCAGGGATGGCCAGGAAAGCTGGGCCAGCTGCGGCCTGCAGAGGGCCAGCACCACAGGCTTCTGGACTGTGGGCTCCAACAGTCAAAATCACACTTCATGTGTCACTGAAGGGCCAGCAGATGCTCAGATTTTGTTCAAAGGGATGTGTTAAAGATGCTTTCTTGCCTGTCACTCGGCTCCTCAGGAATATATATAACAAAGACTGTATGGAAAATGGTTCTGAAAAATTATTTAACAAAACTTAAAGCTGTACAGATAATGTGGAAGTAAATGACATGTAAACTAGTATAAAAATGTCCTTCTTGTTTGAAGAAAACAATAATCCTGTTGATTTAAGGACATACATATTGAGACCCTACACTACTCCAAATATAGGAGTGTAATGGTTCATAAACTTGGTTGAAGATTTGAATCATCTGAAGGGCTTTAAAACTTCAGATTCCTAACCTCACATCTAGAGAGCATTTCTAATTCTGTAGGTTTGAGGTGAGATCAGAGGAATACAAAATTTTAGACAAAGCCCCAGGAGATTGCGATGCAGCTTCTCAAGTCTAGAGTGGGTTATATTTGAAAACTACCATGGGGGGTGGGACACAAACTAAGTCTTGGGTGTTCCTCCTAAGCTTGAAGACTATATTAAACTGAATTTTGTTTCTGGAATAGGGCTAAATATTCATCAAAATATTCCTCCTACTATAAAAACACTTAAAATATTTCTAAAATTTTTTCAAATATGACTGAGCTTGGTTGCACAACTCTGTGAATGTACTAAAACCATTAAAGGGGTGTATTTTATGGTATGTGAGTAAATATCAATAAAGCTGTTATTAAAAACATATATGGCCCAGCCAGGCATGGCTCAGCAGTTGAGCAAGCACTGACCTAGGATCCAGGAGATCACGGTTCAATTCCTGGTCAGGGCACATGCCCAGGTTGCGGGCTCGATCCCGTCGGAGGGGTGCAGGAGGCAGCGGATCAATGACTCTCACATCACTGATGTTTCTATCTCTCTCTCCCTCTCCCTTCCTCTCTCTGAAATCAAGAAAGATATATTAAAAAACAAAACAAAAAAAAACATATATAACTGAGCTTTCAGGAAGGTAAATGTCATTGCCAACAGCAAGATGGGAGCACAAACCTTGCTTGTTTAAGGGAGCACCAATGGTAGCAGTCACCTGAGAGCACCTGCAGGTCCCCAGTGACACAGAGCTTTGGTTATAATGGCTTATAGGGGAAGAGAGGATAAAAATCAAGGCCTTTATAAGATGACAAACTGGTTCAGAGATCCTCAGGTAAAGCCAGGACCACCTAAGGCTATACTTGTAGCGAAAAGGTGAATTAGAAAATAATGCACCCTGCAAAGATAAACAGCAGGGATGTGTACCCTGAGGATTCTAAACTACAAAGTCAGCCCTCACACCTTTGAGTCCCTAATTCACACTTCCTATGTTATATAAGATATGCCAACCTGATAATTTTGTTTAAAGTGGTTTAAAGAGCTGGTTTTACTTCATAAAATTCTAGAAAATGCAAACTACTTTATAATGACCGAAAGCATATCAGTGTTTGTCTAAGAACCTGGGAGGGTGGGAGGAAGAGGCAGGAGAGGAGGATTACAAGGGTCTAGGAGAAAGCTTGGTTGTGGTAGAGAAACACATATGCTCATTATTTAGATTGTGGTGATGATTTCATGGACATATACAAATGTATATGTCAAACTTACCAAATTGTACATTTTAAATATGTACAGTTTATTTTATGTAAATAATACTCAACAAAGCTGTAAAAAATAAATTGAAACTTGATGAGAAAATTAAAGAGCAGGTTAGACACAGGTGAGGTGAGAATTAGTGAACTGAAAGATCTAAAAGAAATTACACAGAATGCAGCAAAGATAGGTAAAGATGAAACGTATGAAAGAGGAACAAAAAGTAGAATAAGACCCAAACTACATTTAATTGAATTTCTAAAAGAGGTTAAACAAAGAGAATGGGGAGAGATGACACACGATGAGATAATAGCTAAATAAATTTTAGAACTGTTAAAAGATATAAGTTTTCAGATCCATGAAACATATAAAATCTCAAATCAAATTATGTAAAATTACACCCATACCATGTTACACTACAGTGAGGCTGAAGAATAAGGGGATTTAAAAGTAGCCAGAGGAAAAAGATAAGTTACTTATAAAGGAAAGCAACTACACTAATGGATGTTTTCTGAGTAGGAACAACAGAAGGCAGTAGAATAAAATGCTGGGAGCAAATACTCTCAATATAGAGTTACAAGTCTAGTAATCTTATCTTTTAAAATTAAGGGGAAAATAAGATGTTTTTAGACAAACAAAAACAGAGAAAATTTATTAGCAACACTTACTAAAGGAACTTTTTTAGAAGTATTTTTTAGAACATAGAAAATGATCCTTTAAAGAAGACTTGAGATGCTAGAAAGAATGTTAAGTAAATAAAATTGCTTAAATCTGAGGGAAAATTGACTGTTCAAAATAATAACGTCTTGTGTGTGTGTGTGTTTTAAAGGATAAAACTTTAACATTAGTCAATAACATGTCTGGGGGTGTGTGTGTGTGACTAGACTGAAGGACACAGAGTGTGATTAACATTAGATTTTAAGTAAAATATGCATGTTAGAAGTTATAGAGCAACTATCTAAAAGATGTATATTTAAAAATGGCAGAACCTACCATCCTAAAAGAGTAGAAACTGGGGATACCATTTCTAGATCAGTAGGCGAGAAATGTAAAAAACAAAAACACAGGTAATCAATCCAAAAGAATATAAGAAAGAAGAGAGAAATCACAAAATATGACAGAAATAAATCCAAATATATCAGTAATTATGACAATGTAAATACACTGCACTTTCTAGTTTAAAAAGACAACAATTGTCAGGTTAGTTAAAAATACAAAATCTAGCTATATAAGTCACATGAACACAGAAGAGTTGAAAGTGAATGTATGAAAAAATACTAGGCAAACAGTAGCCAAAAAGAAAATTGGTGTAGCTGCATTAATATCAGACTGTATAGACTTAAAGGTAAAAGCATTTTTTTACACATTATGTGGGTCATTATATAATGGTGAAAAAATTTCATTTTTCCAGGAAGATAATTTTAACCTGGAGTGCACCAAAATAACACAGCTTCAGAGTATATAAAATTCTCAGGAAAGAAATGGCAATCTCCTTAATGATCACAAATTCTGTAGTAGAGATGTGATGAAGGGAGCCTCTTATAAAAGAAGGTGTTCTTTAGGTCAAAGTCGTGATGAGGAAGGTCACCGAAGCAAAGATGGATCCTCTATTGAATCCTGGGAACTTTAGGTAAGAAACTATTGGATGGTTTCAGTTTTTCATTTCTATGTAACTGTACATCATTGTTATCCATTCGATCAACATTAAGCTTCTTCTGGAATTAGGACCACTTGTGCAGTTTATTATTGTTGTACTTCCTAAAAGAAGTGATCTGGAAAACACAGGCTGAAACTGTGTTTTTGTTTCCCATATTTAAAAAGAAAAACAAGGACAGATAACATGTAATATGTACAGAAGTAATAGAAGGAAGTAGGAAAAACTAACCTAAGAGCCATTTTAAATATAGATATTTAGATTAACATCTATCTACTTGTCTCTATGTTACCAGAAACTTTAAAACAAATAGTTCCAAAAAAAAAAAAAAAATGTGAAGGCAAGCTTTGTATACATACATACTTAGAAAATGAGACTGAAGGAGGAGATGTGCACAAGTCAGGCCATCTCTAGAACAGCCAGCAGATGGTAAATACGAGACCTGGTAAATGAATAGATGTCACAGAGGTGCAAATATGGAACTGAAAAGTTAAGAAAGCAGGCTTCATAAAATCTCCATCAGGCTTCAAGAGCAGGATTTGAAAAATTACTGCGCCAAGCCAAAGGTCTCCATAGCTGAAATGACACAGCAAAACTAAACCTTAGCTAATGAAAGAATTGTCAGTAAGAGATGACCACAGTGTCCAGTTTTGAACTGAATGCAACTGTGTCAATGGTACAGTTGGATTTGGAAAGGGAGTTCATAAATAAATAAATAAATTTTAAAAAACACAAAAAACCAGTAACCAAAACCAAAAGGTGTCCCTTACTTTATGATTACTTATAAACTGAAAAATCAGAAATAAAACATTTAAGTTAGTAGGGCTCAGGCATTCAATTCAGTTCAAGTCACCTGGGCTCTTGTCACTAGCAGGGTGACCCACGCAAACTTCCTCTCACAGAACCCAGAGAGCTTCCCCATCAGGCCTGCCCTCCTATCTGCACCATAACCAGGTCCCCAAAATGGTTTTCTCCTAAATCCCATTCACTGTGGGTCCTAGTCTGTAATTCAATAGCTGCTAACTGGCTAATGTTAATAACTTTTATCCTATACCTCCCCAGCAGATCTGCCCAGTTAGTAGAGGGACTCAGAGGCAATGCTTTGTTTATTTTAACCAAAAGGAAGCTCAGTACAGACATAGTCTAAAACGGAAATCAACTGACTTCAGTTGGAAAGCCCAAGAACTCCTAAGTTGGAGAACTAAGCCCTTTCGATAAAAATATCAACTGCAATGGAATAAAATGCTTGGAATGCTTAAGTCCATGAATTCAGAAGGACATTAAAAAAAGCAAATCTCACAGATCATCTCTGGAGGACAGTAAGGGATCAACTCATTATTGAAAACTCTTTCTTCCACACAAACTATATCTGAGAATAACTAAACTGTTGATGAAAGGAAATTCTTTTACAAAAATTTTCTCAGTAATAAATGAGGAGGAAATGATAGAGCTGTAATAGCAACATTTTGCAGCTCCTAATGAAATAATGGACTTAAGCAATGATCATGAATGGCCCTTAACATCACAGAGGGACAACCAAATGCAGTGTCTCCTGACAAAAGTAAACAACACTTCTTATTAAGTATTCATGCCAAAAAAACCCAAATAATAAAAACAGAAAGATCCTGAATCTAATCAAGCTTCCATTTCTAACTGCCAGTTTTATAGGGCATAGGGAAGGTAGAGGGACATGTTAAAACCACCATAAGGGTAAAACAGCAAATTCAGAATGTGGGAAACTCTATAGTTATTTTTTTTTAAATCCTTATTTTTTAGAGGTACATATCAAAATACGTATGAAATGATCTGATAACAAGGATTCGTTAGAAAGTAATCTGGTGGTATGGTAGATGATCAATGAAACAAGACTGACAGGGAATTGATAACTGTTGAAGCTGGGTGACAGTACATGGCTCATTATACTATTGTCTACTTTTGTACATTTCTATAAAAAAAGATTTTAAAGAAGAGAAAGGGGGGCAACAAAGCCAACTGCATTGTACAGACCTATGTGCATTCTGTTTAAAACAAACGATTAAAGAAATTAATAAGAGTATCAGAAATGTGTAGATTGACTGGATATTTCATATTTAAACAATTATTATTTTAGGTGTGATAATGGTATTAAAAATAACCTTCTCTTTTAGAGGTATAAATGAAATATTTATGGCTGATATTAATATTTATAGCTAATCCCATACTACCTGGGATTTGCCTCAAAATAATCCAGAGGCTCAGGTAAAGGGAATGAGAAGTAGAGATGAAGTAAAGATTGGCCACGGCTGGTAACTGTTGAAGCCAGATGATGATTCCTTATATATGTTTTAGATTTGCCATTAAAAACATTTAAAAAAAACTAACGATGGTGTTAGAAGTCAGGATAATGGTTACCTGTGAAGAGGGGAACGGGAGCTGCAATAAGGGCTTCTGGAGTGGTAGGAATGTTCTGTCCTACACAGGTTTGTTCGCTGTGACAACTCACCAATCTATACATTACGACTTGTGTACACGGTAATCAAAGGTATTTTTAAAAGCAAGAAATTCACTGTTTCAGTGCAAGGGAAGCCTCTGCCGTAGAATTGCGGTACTGCAGCGCTCCCTGAGAAAGCCGTTCCCGAGCGGAAAGGCGACGCAGTGACGCAGCGCCCTCGGCCAGCGTGAGCAGCGCCGCTTCCTCATCTCTGAGGGCGGGGCCAGCCGCCTCGGCGGGTGCTGAGCGGTAGGGGCCTGGTGCGTGCGAGGGCCTTGCGCAGACCCGGCACTCGGCCGGCAGTGAACCAAGGCGGTTTTCTGACTTATCTGGGGCCCGCGCGGCTGGCTGAGGCGCTGTACACTAAATGGAACCGGTGCTCACGACCCCGACGGCAATAACCAACCCCGAACTGCGAGCCGGGCCCATGCCACCGCTCTCCCGCAGGGCTTCTAGCACTAGGGAGACAGGCGAGGAGGCCCCGGAGCCGCACCCGACCACGGAGAACCAGAGCGTCTCCCCCACAACGCTCAGCGGGAGACGAAACCACTGGAGAAAGGAGACGGGCCTTAGACCCGCCCCTCTTCCCTCTCCGCCAAGCCCCTCCCCCCATCGCCCTCCAATGGGGACGCGCGGAGTGAAGGCTGCACAGCTTCCCTCCTCGCTCCCCCAATCAGCGAGCGCGCCCCGGATCACCGCGCCCAATCACAACACTCCACAGGCTTGAGGCGGACTCGTGGGTACCGGAGGCTCCCGGAAGGACCGCAGACTACTGGGCAGGTTCAGGCCAGACGGCCTCCCTGCCGTGCCGCTCCGGAGAGGCTGCGCTGCCCCTGCTACCCGACCGGCCGCGGGCCGCACCAGCGGCGCCGGACCGCGCTCCCTTCCTTCTCAGGGCCAGTATCCCGCCCACACACTCATAGGGAAAACATGGAGGAATAGCACGGAGAAGCGAATGTTTGTTTCAGCCACATTCTATTACACAGTAAGGAAAAAAATACCGTCTCAAAGAGCCTCTTTCCCTTCCAAGCAGCTTGAGTTTCAAACCTGACTCACCTCCCACGTTTTACAGAGAGGTAAAATCAAGGGGCCTAGGGACTTGTTCGTTCCGCACATTTCTGGAGTCTGCCAGGGGACTGGCGGAGGCCGGCGTGCCCATCAGCCCTCGTTTACAGGTCCAGGGCGGAGCGAAGTCATTCAGCGCAGGAAGCTGGCGGAGTCGGCTCACGCCCAGAGGCCTGTCTTCCAAGTCAGTCCCCTCCGCACCGCTGCGCAACCCAGAGTAAGAACACAGGGCGAGGGAGAATCTATGACTGGGCATGATTCAGGATGCACAGAGGATGACCTCTGCCAGACAGCATTCAGTAAACGGTAGCTGGTACTGCTTTTCCAAGTACACTAATCTCAACAGACAAGGAGACAGTTACCCCCATATATTTATTTGTTGCAGATTATGTTCATTCTTTGGCAAACAGCCTTTGCTTACTAGGGACTCCATGGTTTGTCTCGGAATAACAGACAGCTGACTCTACCCCATACCAAATATAATGGTCCATAAACTAATCTTCCCTTCATACCTAAGAAGGTGCTAACAGTAGCTTTCCTGAAATGCTACGTTCTCTTCTCTGTACTTCCACAGCACTTTTCTTTTATTCATATACAGGACATCAGAACAAGCTTTGCAATATAACTGAGTCCATGTAAGTTTCATCATCACAACAGTGGTTTCCAAAAGGAATATTATTGGCCTTAGAGGGCATATTAGAACATATGGGGGTGTTTTTTTTACTGTCAGAATGACAGCAGGGCATTACTGGCCCTTAGTGGGCAGAAGAAAGGAAAATTAGATAACCTGCAATGCCGAGACTATCCAACACATCAAAACATCGTCCCTATTGACAGCCAGAGATTTCAGCATGGAAAAGAGATACAAATATAGACTAGAGAAAGGCATGGAAGAAACCTGTGTGGATGCACTGGAATTGGAGGTTTCAGTATAAACTCATTATTTGTAAACTATGTACATGTATGCATATATGCATGGATGTGCACATCTGTATGTTTATGTGTATATGTATACATATTTTCCTAGCTCTGTCCACTGAATGGGCCAAGAAGCAAAAACTACAGTGACAAGAAGACATCTAGTACACAGATCTTGGCTTCTAATAGTCCCACTAAAAGGAACCAGGATTCCTTAAAGAAACAGTTGATTCCAGGGCTAAATCAGGAAAGGTACAAGATGAGCCTGGGAAACTGAGAGTCAGCTTGAAAGGGCCAAATCTGGGAATCTGGGACAATATGATCACCCAAATAATTAAGGATGATAATGAATCATTAAAAGAAAAACAAGAGAAATACACAATCCAGAAGACCATATTGATAATGAACAGAAAAATATAGTTCAAAGAAAGAAATGGGAGGGAAGGGAGGGCTCTTGCTTACAACAGAATACTGAGAACTAACTAGTAAATGTGGAAGTATTAATGGAGCTAGAAAAACCACCATTTTGCAATTGTCATAGTAAAGACTGACTCAGGCAAGATGCCTCAATGGATGCCAAATCCCGGGGGAAACTTTTGATAAACAGGATATTTGCATATTAAAATATTGCTCCACAGACTGGCTATTAGTCATAAGGAAGAAAAACAGTAACTCTCCAGTGGGGAAATCAGACACACCCAACTAGGTGACCAAAGTTAACATTGCCAGTGAAGGCAGGTTGACAACAGGTATCTCTAGAT